CAGAGAAAAACGTAATTGTTGTGAACTGCTCAGAGAACACTGATTATTGGGTAATAAACAGTAGTAGTAGTAGTAGTAGTAGTAGTAGTAGTAGTAGTAGTGTAAGTTGTCTGTACCTGGTACTGCAGAATGAAAATGAGGGCCCTCTAAATGAAGCAAGCCTAGTTTACCTAGGAATTTATGGGAGGCTTATTCCTATTTGCAAATCATGCAAACATATTTGAATGTGAACATGAATAGGTATGCACTTCTTAGGAGATTTTGTAATTTCCTTATATTTGCATTCAAAAGTGTACACTTCTAAAAGTGCACTTTCACAAATGCACATTCCCTCCCTGTCCCAATCTGTAATTTCATGCTTTAGCCTAGGGTGGGGAATGCACATTTTCTAAAGTGTGAGGTTTTCCTAAAGAAAAATCCCCAATTCCCTTTCCCACCCGCAAAAAAAAAGACACTTGTCTTTAGAATTGCAAATCAAACTTTGGAGAGTAATTTGGAGAACACTGCATATTCACCCACCTCTAAGTTTACAACTTTGGAAAAGTCAGTGAAGCAGTACACATTACCATCTAAAGGCAGGAGTAACATAAGAGCATAAAGTTCAGAGTCTAACTTCATTCATCTAGACCACTGAAACAATATTAGAAGTCTGTTAGGCAAGATATTCAAGAACTGTATGCACAAGATCTATAAGCATTGATCTTACTTCCTTAAAGCAAATAATTGGCAATAATGGCCTAAACACTACTGAAATGCCTGAAAGTGGTTGACTATACATATAATATAACGGAATTGATGTAATAGCAAAGTGCAACTTTTAAAAAAGCAACTGTTTATTTTAATTAAAGGGCAACTCCTGCTGTCAGCTTTCCCTGAACAGTACAGCTGCTGGTTCTAGTGTTCACAGTTAAAAGAGCCCAGTCAGCAGCACTGGGGCTAATTTATAATATTTTGTGACTGCAGTATAGCAATAAATTATGATGGCAATATACTTCTGGGAGGTCCATTTTTTTCCCCACAGGATTTTTGTTGTTTGTTCTAGCTATTCTTGTATTCATGTTTGAAGACACTGATAATAAGCATGTCAGGTTATTAACAAAGATTGTCAGTTTAACTGGCACTGGAAATATGTTGTTCTAATTATTCCAGTTAACAATGTTGTGAGCAAAGCAATCAGATCAACTAAAATATCATTTTAATGAAAAGATACACAAATTAAATATTTGGAATTCTGAAATTGTTCCATGGGAAGATTGTATTTTCAACTCTGAAAGCTTTAAGTATATGGTCTTGATCCAACTATCAGTGAAGCAGAGCTTCAGCAGATACTTGAACAAGAGTTGGATTAACAACAGAGTCCTATACAAGTAAACTTGGAAGCATGTCCCATTGCATTCTGTTGAGTTTATGCCCAGGTAGGACAGGAAGGCCTGGAGGAATGTTGCCCATGGGGTCACAGTGGGTCAGGCACAACTTCGCAACTAACAACAACAGTGCAGGCTCACAGCATAACCCTTCTATTGTTTACATGGAAGCAAATTCCAATGACTTCCTCTAGGTCTCCTTTTGGTTTACATTTACATTGGTAAACATTGCTTTACTTTAGGCCCATTTAAGTTTCTTTGATTTACAGAGGGCTTACTCCCATTTGAGCATACATAAGATTACACTATCAGTAAGCATCTAGAAACCAAAACAGGAGTTTGTTTTGATTTATGTTCCTAGCTGTGGGTTTTACTCTGAGACTGCAAATAACAAAGAAACATCCTATCATGAAAAAGAAAAGCTTTAGGAACTGTGTGGCCTCACCAGTGCACCTAATGCTTATTCATTAAAGCTCCCATCCCCCAAAATAACATTCAACTCCTCACTTGCTCTGCTTCACAAAACCAGGAGCCTAGGACTCCTTCCTCTCAATCTGTTCCAGAATGGCCCTGCTATCAGCTGCTATTTCTACCTCTAAGACATTAGATTTATTCAATTTACACCCACACCACCTCTTAGCACTGCTGTGGCACCATGCAACAAGGTATTCATATTGCTTGAGCTGACTTATTGTAAAGGTTCATAGAAGGGTCCAAAGCTGCATGTGGTGATGTTTCAATATTGTCATGTGTTGTGTGAAATAGTGGAAGGCACCTGCGTATCTTTCAGTAGTTGGTTTAAGAGTCAGATGCCCCATCCTCAATATTTAGCCTAGAGAAAAAAAAGGATCAGACTCTGAGGTTAATATTGCACATTGAGTTTATCGTATGTTGTGTAAGAAATGTACAAGAACACAGAGCAGTTAGAGCAATTAGTATTTTTGTTGCTAATTTTGAATATCTACAGGAACAAAGAAAGCTAAATCTTTCCTTCTTGCCAATGGAACCGGTTTGCCTTGTTTCCTATCTTCATATTTTGTGTACTGAGTATTTCCTGTATCAAAATACATTTGTAAAAATTAAAGGGTTGTGCATTTATCTGCTGGCAAAATCAACTTCAATATACCAAGAGAAAGCTACCCCAGACTGTGTAATAATGATGATTGATTGATTGATTGATTGATTTCTATCCCACCCATAAGCCAAATGGTTCTCTGGGTGGATCAGTTATCCCTTTGACCCGCATGTGTAACTCCTATTACAGCATTTAAGAGGCTGGATTCCTTGCAGATGTCTTAATACTGGTGCAAAATCATTATTTCATGCAATACAGCTAAGTGGAGAAAAGGTTAGTCTGAGCAAACGTCTCTATTTTGTAAAGAGTTGATGGCATGCTGATTTTGAAAGGATATTTATACAAGTGTCTCTAGCTCATTTTGAAGTACTGCAAGACTCTAGGATGTTTATTCAGTTCCAGTATAATCAAGTTCTAAACTATGAAGTTTGATTACAACCTAAATTCTCCAAATAATGTTCTGTACTTGAACACTTAAAGACACTGCCTATTTTCAAAAATCTGGAACATTTTTGCTAATCCGTTCATCCTCATGAATGTTGTTTTGCAATACAGCTCTTCATTGGAATCAGTGTTCAGCTAAAAGTTTTAAGGTTAAACACAATTGTTTCCAATTACGGATAACTGTATCAATGTTTATTTTAAAGATCGGCGAAAGACATGAATTATATCATTTTAAAAGGGTTTTCCTTCCCCAGGTTTGCACAAGTGGGAGTATGCTTTTATGAAACAATTTGGCAATAAGCACACAGACCTGGATGCCTGTGCCATGGTCTTAATGTATTTGCTCAGGAATGGCAAAAGTGTTTGTTCTTCATATTCCACTCTCATCTCAAGCATACTTACTTTAATCGTTATTTCAACATCTTTGCAAAAATCCATTTATATTTCTTACACGAAAATGCATTCTTCAGAAAACCATTGTCTCATGCTTCATTAGGGAAAAGAGCAGCACACATGTTGAATTCATAAACTCAGACTCCAATGTAACCCTTTGTTGGGTTTTTCAGGGGTGTTTCACCAAAGGGACATACCCAGGTTTGCTATGGCTGTATATTCAATAGGAAATGGCAATGTGTAAACTGATTCTAGTATTCACATTCACAAACACAAGTTCTGGACTCCATAACTTATTTATATCTTAACCAGTTTCTTATATAAAGGACCAATGCACAACATTGTCATACTGTAACTGCTGTCAATACTGTTCAACTTTAAGGATCACAGTACCTCTAAAGGTGACAACTTTTCTTTGAGAGAGCCATTTTTGACATGAAGTATGATGAGTCTACCAAAATTTGAAACCCTTACATAAAGCTATATGCAATGCTTTCAGGCACACTGATGTTTGGGAGGTTTCTTTCTTCCACCATCACAACAGCAACCAATAATCGAACATGACAAGTGTCATGGCTAGAACCTCCAAGCTTTTATTATGATCAATTTGTTCATACCTGCAAAAAAGTCATCATACATACACACAATTTTCAGACTTAAAACAAAGGAGTCAAACATCTACCAAAAACTGACTGCCTACATGTAACAGTCGATTTTTGAGTGGGCAGGTGTGCAGAGCCCATGCACCTGAATCACAGAGACCATAAAGAAGAATCAAGGTAATCAGCCACAGAGACAACCTCCTCCACAAGAGTTCAAATGCCAAGAATAACCACTATAAAACATCCTATGTATATTGTCAACTGGGTTAAGGTATTTGGGAGTTATCAGGCCACTGAGAAAACTGAAACCAACTGAGAAACTACCTTATTCTAAAGCAAGGAACTCCCACCATCAACAGCTGGCAGTGGTATCTGACTGCGAGATACTGTACATTCCAGGGACGGTGTCCTTGCAGAAACCAGTGACCAACAAACAGGCTGGCTGGTATGCCACTCCAGGGAAATTAGCGAGATGTCTCAGATTTCTTTACCATCTTACTGACTTGCAACCTGTAATGTACAGATGGCTGAGGCTAAAAGACCATGTTCAGTATGCTGGCTTTCTTGTGATGAGGGAGACTGTAGACAATATTTTGGCTGGTACAGCTTATTCTTTTTCTGGCAGCTTTCCCTCCTTCCAGCTGTTAGAAGGTCAGCTAGGACTTGAGAACTTGGTTATCCACTAGAAGTGAGTGGTAAGCCAATTGGTGACTGTCGCTGGGCTACACTTACATCACATGCTATATGTTGCCAAAATAAGCAGTGATATTGAAAAGGCACAATAAAGATATCCTGGGTTTTTCCAATTGTCCTTAATAATGTTAATAGGCAATTCAAGAACTGTGAGTATGTGATGGAAGGCAGGGGCAATGAACCAGGCTTAAAGCAATTCCAAAAGAGGTGTGTTTATTATACATGTACTTTCACAGAAAAACCATCCATTTTTAAAGAAGGAAAAGATTCTAGAAATATGGCTAACATGATTCTGGTTATTTTTGAGAACTAGATAACAGACTGGACCATAGTTCCCCATGCATTGCAACTATAAACCATCAATTTTAACTTTGTAACCCTCTCACTAACACTACCACACTGTGAGAAATACAGATTAGAACTACTTACTCATTTCTCTCCAGGCTGATGACAAGTTGCTCACTTTCAGCTTGTATGAGAAATTTCAGCATTGCTGGATGAGTCTGAAAAATACAATGCAAGAGTAATTCCATGACTGCAAAGGGAAGGCAGAAAGCTTGCAAGAAAGAGCCTTCACTGTAAGAAAAAAGAGTGTGACAAGTACAGCAGGAGGATGGGAGTTAAAGTAAAACTACAGTCAAAGGAGTTATTTGTAGGATTTTGATTTTCTTTTGCATTTAAAACATCCGTAGTATCTCAACAACATTTATTTTCTTTGTCAGTGTGTTTAAATGTATGCTATCCAATCACGGAAATCCTGTTAATTTTATTGATTTACCTCCTCTCAGAGAAATTAAAATGTGGGTCTGAACTGCAGATGGATGGACAAATCACTTTATACCAATACAGACTTCAGAATGACTGACAGTGTGCACCTGAACTATGAAGATAAATTCAGAAAAGGAGCTTGAACTTAAATCTTTATTGGAGAAAATTTTCTGTCTGTGTCTGCATGTTTGTGCATATGAACTTGTAAGGGTTATAGAATTTCAGAAACTGGTGATACTCCAGAGTGTGTTCAAGAAGATTTTTAAACCTACTGTATGATTACAGAAAAGTACCTCTGCTCATGACAAAGCCATGTGTGTAAGTAAAAGAGGAACTCTGGCTGAAGGAATGATGTTGAATTTGCTTTTCAAGATGAAATATAATTTTACCTCACGGCTTCTCTCATACCACGGTAAAATGAGCACAAATTGTATAAACCAGAGCAGAGCAACCCGAGGCCCTCTGGATGTTTCTGCCCACAACTCCCATTATCCCTCAGTGCTGGGTATCTTGGCGAGGGCTAATGGGAATTACTGGGTCTTTGCCAGGACAATGGGATTTTCTACTCATCTGGTCTCTCCTGATTGCTCTACTTGTTTCAGTAAATTAGCTTCACAGGAAGCATGCCACATGACTCATGAGAGGGTTTTTCTCTGGAAAATCACATGAAGAACAGAAGGCTTTTGCTGATTCAAACTACCTTCCATGTTGTCCAGGTACAGGTCATGGGGAGGTGTTAGGCCAAGATCTGACTTGTGATCCTATGAAATCAGAAAGGTTTTCCCATGAAAGTTAGAGTACATTTGAGTAAAATGTTAAAGAGGAGAACAGTTAAAAAGTGTTAAAACTCAGAAAATATTGTTGAATCCTGGCTAACTCATACACGGAATTATGAACATGTGGAATTTTGAAAAACAAACAAACATGTAAAGAGCATCTAGGGTTTTGTTTCATGTATGAAGAGTGATGTTTTAAAAGCACCTTTTATCATGTGAGGAAGTAGCTACATTGAAGTGCCAAATTCAGGTGAATTTTCCAGTAACTTCTACCATACTGAATAAATGAGTTAGTCCAAAGCCTTGGCATTCACCAGTGCTTGGGAGTCATCTATAGTCATGAATATTTAGAAGCAATCTGGGTTACCACTGTAATATCAAGTAAATAGTTCCCAGATCCTAGAAGATATAAATACTGAAGCACTTGGAAAGGACAAAATAGAATTAAGATATTGCAATAGTGTAATAGATTCTTTTCCTAATATGCAAAATGAAGTACATGGTTATTTATGAGCTCTCCAAAAATGTTAATTGTCAGGCAATCATTATTAGCTTCTATTTAGGTACTGTATATATTATTTCATACTCTCATAAAAGAAGACAAGCTATCGTTGTTGTATCAATTCTATTCTGGTATTTATATAAGTTCTTTCAAATATTGCATTGTTTTCTACTGTTTTACCAGCTACAGAGGTCATTTTGAAGGGCTTGAATACATGAGGGTCTCAGATTCTACAGGAATGCTTGGAAGGAGCCGTAACATTCAGGGAAGCACACCAATCACAAAGTAGCTGGCTGTATCGTTTTCACAAACTATTATGTTAGTACTGGCAATGAAGATCAGCTTGTCCGATTGGATGGAGAAACAGGACTTGGCTTAGATTTAAAGATGTCTTTAAATTTTTATAAATCGATTTGAATATAATTATAGAATGTTTAAAAGATATGTTATAGGGGGCTGACCCAGTATGTCCGATGTACTTGATGATTGAACATGTTTTAGTTTTTAGTTTAAAATCTTAATAAAAAATGTGCAAAAAAAGAGAAAAAGATCAGCGTGTTAAATGTTCTGCATAATTCTTCAAATACAGTTGCTTTTTGTAAGAAAGGAAGTCCTCACCTTCAGTACATCATTCCCAAAACAAGTGTTGAATGAAGTAAGAGAGATTTTTCCTCACAAATGTTAAGTGCTTCACTTTCTGCCCAAAATAACCCAGAAGATATATAGTGCTAGGATATGCAACAGTTTTTATGTCTCCTGAGAGCTGAAAAAATGCCTAGATACATGTATTTTAGCCACATATTATATAGTCTTTAGCCATATAGTCTCTATTACCCAGGAATTCTTATGTTTCACTCCTTCCCTGCCATGTAAAAGACAAAAAGAAAGAAAGGTTTCTTATGACAACCAAAATGAAACATTTCTGAATGGGTGTGTAATTATAAAAGTACATTAATGGTCGGTTCTTACGATGAATGAGATTTTCTGGTTTGTTTGCATCTTTCTTGAACTGTGATGCCCAGAACTGGACAAAATGCTCGAGGTGAGGCCTATCCAGCACTGAGTAGAGTGGAACCAGTACTTCTCATGATTTGGAAGTTATACTTTTATTAACACACCCCAATTAGCATTTGCCTTTTTTGCAGTCAGATCACACTGTTGACTCATCTTCAGCCAATAATATAGCCAACATAGGCCACAAGAACATGTAAAGGTCAAATGAAATATGATGTTAAAAGAACTGTAAATATTTTTAAAAGTATAAATAGCTGCTCTCAGACCAAATCTATAAAAAGCAGCTGAGGGGAGTGGAGAGGATTTTCATCTGATCAATTGCAGGGGGACAGATGTAAAACCCTCTCTCTCCGCCATCCATGGATCCTGATGCTACTCAGGCTTCTCCCCATGGCTGCTATTTAAACTTTTAAAAACTAGCAGTTATGCAATTAATGCCACAGCTTGTTCAGCCCAAAACAGAGTATAGCTTTCCCATCAATATTTAGAGAATACTAGCCAACAAAGTCCACAAGCAAAGGTTCAATGTCTTAGGGTCAAACTGCATAATACATTAATTGTGCGGTGTATAAGTGAGAACATTTTTTTAAAGTTTATCTTGACATGAGTGGAAGATTTCATCTTTTTAAAGCAACTCACCATGGTGGTAAGGAAATCTTTCAGGGAAAAAAATAGTTTGGGAAACTATTTATTCCTCTCTTCCTGGTTCATAGTGGCTACACACACTTATTATAGAGTAAAAGCTGATGGTTATCTTCAGTGACACGCTACACAATTATTGGGATGTGTAGCTTGACCTTTACACCTATCAAAATCTAGAATGGCAGAGATGCATATACTGAGAGCATTAACATGTGACCGAAGCTGAAATATGGCTGTCAACTCAGCTAACTTCTGAGAAAGAAAGAAAAAACAAAACAAAACAGCATAGTGGGAAATAATTGATTGTGGAGCCCACACTGAGGTTTAGAGGGTTTTAAAAAAAATATTTATCTTAACATTTATATACTGCTCTATCCCCATAGGTTCTGGGTGGTTTACAAGTAATTAAACCAACAAGGAGTAATATTGACTAATACTACATATTAGTAGTATTATTAACTGACATGAGAACTATGAGGGGCATTCAATGTATTCTCGGTATCAGTATGAAAAGGAATAATAAATTGAAATAATTTTTATTTTTCAATGTAATCCCTCATAACTTCAATACACTTATTACATCTAGAAATTAACTTTCCAATTCCCTGTAAAAAATACCCTTCCTCCTTGTCTAAAAAATGTGCATTAATTGCTGTCTTGAGCTCTTCATCATCAGAAAATTACTTTCCATGAAGATGTTTTTTAAAATTCAGGAACAGGTAGTAGTCACTGGGGGCCAGGTCCAGGCTATAGGATGGGTGGTTTATTTCTTCGAAACCACAGCCTTGCACAGCAGCCTTTGAAACATGCACCGTGTGAACAGGTGCGTTGTCGTGAAGAAGCAACACACCTGCAGTCATTTTCCCTCGCCTTTTTTCTTTAATTGCTTCTCTTGTCTTTCACTGAGGATTACTAGGGAACTAATGATCACACTTATTTGAAATTTTGCATGTATACCCTTAGATAGTGTCATTAGCTAATGAAATAATTAAATTACCCAAATCAATAGCAAATCTACCCGGTACCGAGAATACATTGAACTCCCCTCGTAATCTGGGGAGCACTGCTGGAAAAGATATGATTTTAACTCCCTCTTAAAGCTGGGAATTTGGGAAATCAGATGCATTTCTTCCAGCAGATCATTCCATAGCTTGGAGGCAACCACTGAGAAAGTCCTCTGGGTAGCTGACTTTAATCTTACAAAAGCAGGCTTCAGAAGATTATTTCCAAAGGACCTGAGCTGGTGAGGGGGAATGTATGGGCAAAGGCACTCCTAAAGATCCTTGGACCCAAGCCATGAAGGGCTTTAAAGGCAATTACCTACAACTTGTACTGTATCCAGAAATGTACTGGCAACCAGTGCAAAGGCTTTAAAATTGGCGATATGTGGTCTCTCTGTGATGTCCCAGACAAAGTCTAAATGACTATGGCCTAGAAACTTTTCAGCATCCTGTTCCTCTTTGGGGACATATTAATTATTACAATTAGCAAAGGTCCCAGCTTCTTTTGATTGGATTTTACCAGTCAGAACAGGCATAGGTTAACTCTTGAATGAAATTTACTAGAAAGTCAAATGCAAAGTGCATTTGTACTTCTGTTTATAGTAAAATTTCAAGGAAATTGTTCCATTATCTCAAATCAATTTTGTTTTCTTATTCTGTGCCTTTCCAAGGTATACACTTTTCTTTCTCAGATAGGCAATGAGAACTGTAGAGTGCATTCCAGCTGTGGCTAAACCATAGATTTATGTAAAAGCATGATGGCTGAGGTCATTTTATTTTCCATCTCACAAATAGACTGC